CTCAGCAGGATTACTGATTGACTGATGTCAATCAGTTGTGGGAGTTACATGTTCTTTGCTAAAATTTGGGGTGCATGTGAACCATCCATATATGGCATTAAAATGTTGCTACAACGCTTCAGGATCCAACACATTTTGATCATTTATAGCCAGTCTGATACACCAAACTAACTAGAGCAGCTCTACCTAGGATTTAGGACGGGGCTAGAAGAACTTGTCAAAGCCTCTGCTCCCTCTCCTGCCCACCTAGCAGTTCGAAAGCACGTCAAGTGCAAGTAGATAAATAGGTACCGTTCCGGCGGGAAGGTAAATGGCGTTTCTGTGCGCTGCTCTGGTTTCACCAGAAGCGGCTTAGTCATGCTGGCCACATGACCCGGAAGCTGTATGCCGGCTCCCTTGGCCAATAAAGCGAGATGAGCGCCACAACCCCAGAGTTGTCTGCGACTGGACCTAACGGTCAGGAGTCCCTTTACCTTTACCTACTGAGGTACTAAGCACCTGCACTGCTCTTTTAATAAGAAAACAAGCAAACATAATTACAACACCACCTTCTCACCCTTTGCTCCATTGCCCTTTCTCTTTAAGGCTCTACAATTCCATAGACATTTTTATGCTGCTGTTGAGACGGGACTTTGGATCACAAGGATGAATTTGGGAAATACAACATGCAAGCACAGACATACTGCCTAATCTACTACAGGATCTTTCCTTGCTATATTTTCTGTATATGGAAGTATCTGCCAACCTCAGTTCACACAACTCCCCCAAAACATGTCTCACAGATTGCAATGGGACTGAGATAATACAGTCAACACTATGTCGTTGGAAATGCATTACTCTTTCAGGGAATGACTGTGTGTGTGTTAAATCCCACAAAGCACCATGTTGTGCAGGTCAACTTCGTTTAGCAATAAGGTTTAAAGCTAAAGCTTGTTACTTCTGCAGGCATGGAGCTTGACCATGTGAAGTTGTTTCAAATGGAAGATACCAACGCCACTGGGATACTAGCAGCAGCACTCCCACATAGTGACAAAAAGTATGTCTCTGCCAGGAGACAAGTGTGCACTCATGCAAGAGTAACTCCCTACTGCTTTTGTTTCCTCGGCGCAATGGAGCAGTTTGCCATGGTTGGAATGCACTTCAGCTTTTAAGCCCAGAGGCATAAAAACTCCCTCTAGGATGCCTTACAAGTTATTTCAGAGAAGTGTGCAATGGTTTCCAAGCAGTTATTTTAAGGAAGCAGCTCCAGGTTGTTGTTGTGGTGGTGTTGGTGGTGGTGGTGTGTGTGTGTAATTGCACCCCCACCCCTGCCAGGTGGCATAAAAAAATGTATGGGGCCTCAATAAACTGCATTGTTTCCTGTGCAACTTGGATGTGTCTCATTTCTTTTGTTCCTTTGGTTGGTGTCCCGCCCCCCCGTTTTATCTCTCAGCTAGTGGAACACAGAAGAGCATCAACCCTACTCCTTGTCTCTCTATGAAGAGAGAAAGAGAGGGCAAAGAGAAAGCAAAAAGCTTTCCACTGAACAGGTTGGAGACAGGTCTAGAACGCTGTTGGGAGGAAATTGTGGGTGACACCTCTGCCCAGAAGTCTCTCACAGGAGCAGCACAGAGGTTGCCGGGAATGTAATTTTTGCTCGCACTAGAAATAATTACCACACAGTTTAAGCTTGTACAGTAAGCCCACAACCATCTTCAACACCCAGCATCTCCAGGCAGGTCAGAGAGAAAACCTTGTCTGAAACCCTGGAGAGTTGCTGTCTGTCAGCAGAGGTGGAGCAATGGTCCCATAAGGTAGCTTCCTATGTTCCAATTGTTTTGGAAGCAAATGCGCTAGGTACATAAACGAGATTTTACAGTAAGAGTTTATGTTAGCAATGAGTTAAACTGATACTCATTCCAATTGTTAAAATCTTATGGAGACCCCTGTGTATCGATTTCATTCAGCTATGGCCTGTTTAACAAGCTAATGAATAACCGCAACTCTCATTATTCACTGTCGTTCAAGCGACATCACAGCAGATAATATCAATACATACAAAGGTTAACACTAAATCTTTTGCTGGCCATGCCTATCCTCTGACATACCCAAGACCAAGTCAGGCATTAGAAAAACTTTTGCAGAAGATTACGGTAATGTCGTAATATTTATATAGTACTTTGAATGTTTGAAGGATTTCACATCCTCTCATTTTACAATCTTTACAATCAGGCCAATATTATTATTATTATCTACCATCATCAGTTTCTTTGCTTAGGCTTAGGACTGTAAAGTTGGAGGGACACCTGAGAATCAACCCCCTGCAATGCTGGAATCTTTTACCCAACGTGGGCCCACGACCCTGAGATCAAGGGTCTCATGCTCTATCAGCTGAGTCCTCTCCTACTTGCATGTTGCTGCTGCTGTCGGGGCTGACACAGAGAGGGTAATGGCTGGCCTAAGACCAACTAAACGACTAAACAACAGCAAGACCAACTAGTATGTTCATGGCAGAACTGAGGTTTAAACGGGGGACTTCCCGGCACTGGTTCTTAGCCATTGCACTACATAGCATCAACTATGCTTTGTAGTAAAACTGCACTTCATAATTTGTGTTTCTATTCTAAATTAAAAATCAAAAGATTTTTTTAAAAAAAACCAGTCCACATGCATCGACTTTAAAATATGGGTTACTGTTATAATCTTGCTGCTACTTAGACACATGGCTAAACTAGGCATGGATTAACCGGGTCAAACTATATAAAGCACTAAAATCAGCTAAGACAGCATAATTCATTGTTCTACTGGCACAGACAAAGCAAAGGTGGGGGGGGGTAGGGGAAGAGGGCAAAGACTAAAAGGAGAGGGAAAAACCCTCTATTTTTAACTGGCATAGCAAAAATTATTTGGCAATTCTATACCCTTAAGGAAAGCTCTTGTGTGCAGTTAAAACATCTCTTTTTAATTAGAATATTTAGACTGTCCTCCCTCTAGAACTGCCAGATGTCACAGTTCCACAGCACGTAATGGCGATTCCTTTCTACCTCAGCTGTTTCAGCCAGCAAAATCAATGTACCTCCACAGCATCCCTTAGATAGGACTCTTGCACCTGGAAGCCTACATTCATTCATCATCTTTTCTCAAGTTATTATTGACAGCCCTAGGTTTCGGCAGTGGAAATTCCTACATGAACAAAGAGTTACAGAAAGCAAAGTTCACCTAAGAAATGCACACATAGCTAATGAAATAAGATTGCATGGAATACCAAACATAAAAGGATAACAAACCAGGGGTGAACCCTGGGAGTGAACCTCTATGAGCACACTGCATGACTTAATTCCAAGTAAACATGCATAGTATTCCAGCGAAGGAAAACTAGTTTTGAAACCACAAACAAAGCATCTAAGAACAGAGAACAAAGTATATGTGATCTTCCATTGCATGATTTACAGGTTGTCTACTTCAGATTCCTTAGGGAATGCAGAGCTTTAGCTATTGGGGGGGGGGGGCAGGGGCAGGGCTAGCCAGGCTTTTTGCCCTGGATGAGGCTCCTAGGCTGTGTGTGTGTACACAAATATATGTGTGGGGGTTCCAAGCTGAGTCTTCAACCAGAGTGAAATAAAGCATAGTTTCGCCCCTGTAGAATGCATTGCCAAACTAAACAAGTTTTACAGGCAGAACTGCAGCGATGAAATGGAAAGCACAAAAATCAAAGGACTGTCTTATATTTAAAAAGCAAACATTCAATTTCACACTTCTCATCACACTATTTAATGGTCAAGATAGGATTTTCAGAAAGCTTTTGATGCTCAGCTTCCCAGCAAGATGCCAAGCTATTTAGAAGCAAGTGAATTAACCAACTGCCAAAATATGGAAAATTATCTTATATTAAATGTCAGTAATATTGCATTTCAGTCCTATTAAGTGTGCATTCTCTGGCCTTATTAATTTCCCAAGTCAGCCTTTTACTGCCTCCCGCAATCTACATCTCTGCACACACACCATGCATCAGGCTTCTTCATTCTCTTCAAAAAAGAAGAGAATGTGTACAAAGGAGGAATCTCTTCATGGAAGCGAATGGGGCAGTCTTGACATTTGATTTGAGCACTGCAGGACAAGTTACTGTCCATCAACCCCAGTTCTCCATCTGCAAATAAACTCCATCTCCTTCAAAGCTTTGTTGTGAGGAACAACACTGGGAAGGCAAATACCTTATACCAAGTCAGACAATTGATCCATCCAGAGCAGTAATGTCAACCCTGACTGGCAGCAGCTCTCCTGGGTTTCAAGGCAGTCCGTCCCCCCCAGTTCTACCTAGAGATTTCTGGGACTGCACCTGGGACCTTTGCATGCAAGGAATGTGCTCTGCTGCTAAGCTAGGGCTCTTCCATGTGGAAATTGGGGTAAAGTAGAATATATATCCAGCACAAGGTTAGCTGGGGTGCCAGATGTTCTAGGGACTGCAACTCCATGAGCCCCCAGCCAGTTTGGCCAATGGTCGCAGGTGATGGAGTCTGGACTTCAACAACATCTGCTGGTGGCCCTGACAAGAGTAGCACCGCAAATCATACCCTGGTCCTGTTATGTGCCAGTTCATCCGAAATACCTTCTAGCCTTTAAGTCCTGCATTTTCAACCATTTAATAAACACAAGCTGACCAGCCAAAAACTACTTATTGGAAAGGTGAGAAAAACATCCGCTCTGCCACAATATACACAATATTATTATTATTATTATTATTATTATTATTATTATTAGACGGTGAAGGAAGAAATCTCAAAGGTTGTTTTAAATCTCCAGGAATCTGATCCCTCGAAGGCAAAGAACATCTGGTATCTTTTTCAGAGCGCTAAACCACGAGCTTTTCCAGCGCTGTGGCATTCAGTCATTCTCTACACATACAGAAAAAATCTCTATCTCTCTCTCTCAGTCACTCTCTCACACAATCCTTCCGCGCTCGGCACGAAACTTTCCCAGTTCAAAGGAAACGTTCAAAAATGGCCCCGGCGGCCCCGACTCACCGAGCTTCTCCGCGCAGCTCCCGAGCAGCCAAGCGGGCAGCAGCAGCAACAGGAAGAGGGCGAGCGCCGGAGCCCCCGGCAGCAGCAGCCGCCGCCTGCAGCGACCCATGGCCCCGCGGGACTCGCGGCTGCCTGCCTGCCCAGCCGCCGCTCTTCGCCCTTTTCCCGCCGCTTTGAAACGCCCGCGGCGGCCCTCTCCCGCTCGCCTGCCTGCCTCCTCCTCGGGACGCCCCCTCGACGACGGCGGCGGCGGCGCCGGAGAAGCGGCTCCCCGTCTGCCCAGCGCCCGGCCGCCTGCCGCGGGAGAAAGGAAGCGAGGAAGGCGAGCGCGGCTCTTCCCATTGGACGGCGCGGCGGAGGGGCGGCTCCCAACGGGCCCGGGCCTCCCCTCGTGCGCCGAGGGAGGCGCGTCCGTCCACCCAGGCGGCTCCTTTCCCAGCGATGGCTCGCCTGGAGGGGTTCGGTTCGAGCCTGCCTGGAAGCCAGCGGGGATTGACCCCGAAGCCCTCCTCTTCCCTCATCTGGACGTGAGGGAATGGCACTCTGCCTGTACCCAAGTGCAACGCCTGTCTTCTCTAGTGTGTATAAAGTGTATTTCTTCACTTTATTGCACTATGCCAGGACTCCTTGGTTTGGGGACACTCCCCCTTTTGCCTAATGGCGCCCTAGATTTCTGTCCCAAAGCCTTGCCCTGATGGCATCACTGAACACACCTTCGCCCTCGAAAAATAAATCGCAGCACCCAGAAAACTAGCACAGGAGCCTGCTAGAACTCTGTGATATCCACTCTTCTTTTCTAAATGCAGGTGATTTCATGTGGGTTAAGTCGTATGACCTTGAAGTCAAATATTGTGCATACATTAACTTGGAGGAATATCGCGTGTCCACCATCGTTGTTATTAACAGTAATTTATAATTGGTAAGTCGCTTAAACTGGGGCAGCCTCTAGGCAACTTGCAGTCAATCTTCATTACCCATGCGCTTGTTTCGATTATTGCAATGTGCTACATATTTTTTTTAATGGCATGGAAACTGCTGTCAATTGAGAACAAGGTGGTTTGACCATATTATCCCTGTGCTTTGGCAAACTGTAGTGGCACCCAGTGCTTTTCTGGGCCCAACTTAAGAAGAAGAAGAGGAGGAGTTTGGATTTGATATCCCACTTTATCGCTACCCGAAGGAGTCTCAAAGCGGCTAACATTCTCCTTTCCCTTCCTCCCCCACAACAAACACTCTGTGAGGTGAGTGGGGCTGAGAGACTTCAAAGAAGTGTGACTGGCCCAAGGTCACCCAGCAGCTGCATGTGGAGGAGCGGAGACGCGAACCCGGTTCCCCAGATTACGAGTCTACCGCTCTTAACCACTACACCACACTGTGCCTTAAAGCTGGAGAAAGTGCTTCTGGGCATCCCACAGGTATCTGGTAGGCCACTGAGAATAGGATGTGGAACTAGATGGGTTACTGACCTGATCTAGCAGGGCTCTTCTTGTGTTCTTAATGCCCTGAATAGCTTGTGACCAGGTCATCTGAAATACTACCTTCTATCCTATGTACCTAGTCCAACCTTAAGATGCTCTTTGGAGACCCTTAAGGAATGAAGTGAGTAAACACCAGGGATAAGGCCTTTTCAGCAGTGGCCACCCAGTTATAGAGCAGCCTTCCTTCCCAGGAAGGTTCACCTGGCACTGTCTTTGTGATATTTTCTCATAATCCAGGCCTTTTAAACAACTGGAAGTAGTGTGGACCGCTCAGTTTTTAAATCTGTGCATGTGGTGAGGTTTTGTTTGGTTGTATTTATGTTGCTTTGGGTTTTGTGTCTGCTTTGTGTTCTAGTTGCTTTCTTATTTAACACAAACTGTCCAGAAAACTTCTATGCTACAGGGCAGCATCCAAATGCCATGATAATTAATTTGCCACCTCCCCTGGTGTTTCTGCACATCAGGCCAGAGTTTGTGCAGCTGGCTAACAAGAAACAGTGTTGGGAGTTTCCAAGTGTGAGTGCAGATTTGCTTTTGGAGGAATTTATTTGCTTTGCAAACTAGCAGTTCCATGTCTAGGTTCTTTCTTGCTTATCTAGTATATTTGTAAAGAAATGGATTATGTACTAAAATGCCATAAGAGTGCAGTCCTGACCTGCAGAGCCACTGGCTGGAGGAGGTAGAAGTGCCCCTCTGCTTGCAAAAAGGTGCTCCACCTGTGGAAAGTGGCATGCATCCACTGTGATGTGGATGTGCTGTGGGATGTGCACAGAGCTGGGCTTAGATCTACCACCTGCAATGTTTGTTCTAGTGGCAGACCCAAAACAGAGCATTCAGCAGCAGGTAAGAAGCAGCCTTGTATCTAAAGCCCAATGTGTGTGTTTTTTGGGGGGGAGAGCAGGATCAAAAATTCTAAAGTTGGGAACCAATAAATTTTGCCTCTCATGTTTCCACTTATGTGTTACCATGGTTTAGCAGTGGCTGTGTTAGACATCTCACACACATACACATTTAGGATTCATATGTAAATCATCAATACTCTGGACCAAACCTGTAGCAGCTGTCCTTCGAAGCTCCAACTGCTTGAACTGAGGAGTTTTTGAAGCCATATATACAAGTTGAAAGGATTTATCCATATTTGATTTGGATGCAGGGTTTAATTTTTTGGTTGCTTGCTGTTGTAATACAGGGCAACAGCACATCAGTTTGTTTCTGGAGCCATATTGTTCCATCATGTGCTGAACGAGATCCAGCTGCTCAGCCCCCCTTCCTTGCCTCAGAGCAGGAGCAAGTGGGGAACATGTGGCCTTCCAGATGCTGCTGGACTACAGCCCCAGTTATCCCTGAGCATCAGCCATGATAGTTGAGGCTGATGAAAGATGGAGTCCAACAACATTTGGAGGGCCCACAGGTTCCCCGCCCCTGCGCCTCAGAGGATCTGCTGCTTGCCAACTGCTAGTGGGGAAGTCTGTTTCCATTCCATCATGAGCAGAGCAAGATGCAGCTGCTCAAGAATATTCCCTTGACTCAAGATTTTGGTGGGAACTGCTGCCTGGTCTGACATCAGGGAAGGACAAGGAAGAGGACAGGAAATGCTGCCTGAATAATCCTGGTCCCTAATGTACACTGAGTGGTTTTGGTTCCTGTACCAGGTTTGAATGTGATCTTATTTTGAGAATCTTTTGGAAGCTTCTTTGAGAGCATCTCAGGACTATAAAACAGGATGTAAGTATCTGCTTTATATTTTGCAAAGTTTGTTTGTTCACTATGTATTTAGACGCCTCTTAAGATTTTGTAACCAAATAATGCATGATGTTTCCTGAAATCAAGGAGTGGGTTTTCACTGATGCTTGAATACAGTTGGAAGCCATTTTGAGTCAAGATGATAGACTGAAATTTTCATAACTGCACTGATTTTAACCACTGATTTCCAAATGTGCACTGGTTGTTTTTGTTGTTTTTTAGAATTCCCGAGCAATGTCAGCTTTGAGTCTACTAGTTGTAAATAAACAAACAAAATGTTCATTATTCCCTTGGTAGTATAAAGTGTTCATACCATTGTCAATTGTTTCCAGTGTGAACTTCCCTGTGCTGAAATAAATGGCTGACCATCACTTAACACACCATTTTATTTGGTTATTATTCTACATCAGTGAGAACAAATCCCTGTCTCATGACCAGTTTAGTATCTCTTGCGTGACTGTCTTTCCAGTCTGTTCCAGCTTTAACAGCCTTGTTTTCGCAAGCTCTTCTGTAATCTGCAGAGGTACATATCAGTCTTGAGCCAAACTTGTTGGGGCTTTTTGTGTTCATTTTTCTCCCTGTATGTACAAAACAATGTTAAATGAATGGTTCCTGCAAACAGGCAGAGTCTATCAAAACCAAGGCAAGACAGAGGGGGTGTGGGTGTGGGTGAAAGAGAGACTAAATTTGAGTTTTGCAGTCACAAGGGATTTTGTTTACTTTCTTCACATACATTCTCTAAGTATTTAAGGGTCAGTTCGCCAAGCCAACTCATCTTTTGCCATACAAGATCACATAGTGAAATCTCAGTGTGAACAAGAAGAAAGCCTTTAGCCAAAACCTATGGTTTCTGTTCATTGTCTGTCTGGAGAGACCTAAATCACAAGCCCAGGTTTGAACAACATGCTAAACCAAACCATGGTTTAGCTCAGTGCAGCACAGCAGCAAAATGAGCAAAGCAGCCATGATCTCTCCAGGAGCTTATATGTTTGCTTCTTCATGCTAAGTAAGTCATGTTTTGATTTAATGTTACAGGTAAACTGGGCCATTAAATCAGCCTACGTTAATGATTCAAAAGGAGTAGCCTCCTTAATCTTTTTAAGCAAAGACAACAGCAAAAAAAAAAAAAAAAAAAAGACTGTGGCACTGTTGGATGTGATTTATTGCAGTGTGAACTTTTGGAACTGAAGCATTGCTGCAGGGAGTTACATGATCCTTAGGAAACACTGGCAAAGCTTTCAACCCCCCAGATTGTGGTTTTGTGTTGTTGTTTTTTTACTATTCATTTCCAAAGCAATCCCATGTGACAAAGGAGCTAGAATGTTATCAAGAATATGCAAAGTGGGCTGGCTGGGCTGCTGTCTGTCAACTTTGCTCTGAAATGGGTTGCCGTGAAGAGATCCAGTCCTAAAGTGACCTTAACCAGCCAGGGCTAAGTGAGTAAAGGACATCAAGCCTGGGACAGGGAATCTCCACTGGCTCAAACTGCAAGCAGTTTGCTAGGGGCATGTTCAACATTCAGTAACAGGCACCCTCATGAATGGAGGCTATCATTCTACAAAGTTTCTTAATAGGGAACAAGGGGTGTGCAAATCCTGACAGGTTCCCACAGCCTTACGTCTGTCCACTGCCAAGTCCAACTGGGTCAAAGTAGCTGTGTCAGCAAGCCTAAAGGTTTTCCCAGCCTAGCCAGCAGAAGGCATCCCACAATGACTTGGACAGCAAATATTTGTTTATAAAATTTATGAATCATCCATTCTACCTTAAAAAGCTCCCAAGGTGACACCCAATTCATCAGAGCTAAGCAAACAAACAAAACCCCTAAACACTAAAACAACAACATCCAATCACTCCTAAACTGCAGGAGGCATCAACATCAGTTTAAGTTTTAAAATGCCTGGGAAAGCAAAACAAACGACTCTGCCCATGAATTCTAACAGTGAGTTGGCCTGCTGAGCCTTTCTAGACAGTTGTATAGAGAGCAAAGTCTGCCATCATCAAATGCCAGACTACATTTTCTAGGTATTCTTTCTTGGACTGATGTAAACATTTAACGGCTTAATAGCAGCTCATGTATAAATGCAAGTTTTGGTGAATTTTTTTTTGTAAACAAAAATGCTACTCACATATTCAGGTGGTGTGTTGAAAACAATTCTCCAGCTTTAGAAGTGAATTGTGAAGAATGTTTAAAAAAAATGAAACAGTTTACATGGATACAGTATATAAAATGTGGTTAAAGGTCCTGTGGTTTGGTTTGGTTTTTTTCTCAATTCATTTCAGCGAAATCTTT